ATACCATATGATTTGCTCTAGGCGAGAATTACGGGATAATGGAAAGAAGCAAAACAACGAGCAGATCATTAAGGGACAGTTCAGACTATCGAACCTTTGTGCTGGATACAAGTTCGAAGAAAGTGTAATTTGCTCAAAGTCTCAAACAGTTTCACAAAGATGTTTCATATATGGGCATATAAATCTAAGTAATATAACAGGGCCCTAGACGAAAACAATTGATGCGAAAATAGAGGCAACTAAATTTCAGTATCTGTGTTTCTAAAAATATGAAGAAAGCAAAAGAGTTCATGTTATTTACTAGGATCAGTTTAAGATATCGACATCCAAAATATTATGTCATGACATATAGCTGTAACCCGAGTCAAGTGTATCCAACGATATATAGCTAAGTATAGATGCAGTAAACAACTTCAGGCCCTTTTTCCGATCCAACTCCTACAATCGTTTATACAAATATATCTTCACTCCGAATAGGTTTTACGACTACTGTATTTAACAACTTGCGACGCAAATTCAGTGAATAACAAGAAATTGTGATCTTACGTCAGCTAAAGAGAAGCTTTAAGTCGTGGTACGCAGTTTATTACCAGCATCGAGATCCATTGCCGGCTCGAAAAATGACATGATCCACACGTGAGACTTCCAAAGTTTCAATCTAGTATATGTCGACATTATAAATGCTTGATGTATATCTTCTTGCAGTATGTGAGAAATGAACTTCAAACTTTTGTTGTGTTGCTCTTGGAAATTACCAAAGCGATACCTGGCATATTAAATTATACAACCAGCACAAACAGGTAGGTATTCAGTCAAATGAATTAAAATATTTCGACGCAGGCCAAGAGGCAGAGCCCTATTACAGCACGACTACCTAAAATGTAACAAAACTGAAATTAGACTATTCAAGAACCTACTGAGACTACTTACTCAAAAGATTATAACAATTACCACTACAAACATTTTATGCTGTTGCCACCGCGAATGCTGTAGATGATTCTTAATGGCCTTCAACACTCGATGATATTTAGTCAATGCCTAGAAATATCATCATTTTGTTGCATACGGAATAAAGGAACTAACATAAGCATGCAAGCACAACTTCCAATTCAGAATCTTCACCCCGCTAATCAAAAACACATAAATAAACTACAAAACACTTCAAAAAAAACCAGGATCCATTTTCCTAATGGCCATATCCACAGCAATACTTTTTTATAACAAATGACATCGGCACACGTATGTATGTATGAATATCCTATGCAAGTGGAAGTCGGAAAATATTTCTAAGAGTATTGGCATAATAAATCAGGATCCATTTTCCCAATGGCCATATCCACATCAATACTTTTCTATACAAAATGTCATCGGCACACGTATGTATGTATGAATATATCCTATGCAAGTGGAAGTCGGAAAGTATTTCTAAGAGTATTGACATATTACCTACAAATTAAACAAAGGTACCTCATTAAGTTGGTAGTGGCCCAGAGACGAATCCCTCTGTGCCCGAACTGAAGAACCAAAGCACTAACACAGCAGATATCACCATCATAACAATCAGCAGGACCAGATTGCCCTTGTTGGATGCAAGCCATTTGGTGTCCTCGCACCGACCACCATCGAACTCTTCAATGAAATTCTCTATCATAGCCTTCAGAAGCTTCTTTGAAGATCCCAAATCCGTTGATTCCATGACCCGAATTCGAGCTTCTTTGAGATGTTTTATTACAGCCTCTACTTCATAGGATGCTAACTTGTAATCAGAGTTTATTTCAAGTTTGGTGTCGGAAGTAATTTCAGAGGACATTGGTGATGAGTTGAGATCTGAGATAGCGACTGGTTTTCGAGAATGTGTGCCGCCCACTGGATATGCTGCAGCCAAGTTCTGTGAGCAGAAGGATACTATCAAACTTCTAGTGGCAGTTGCAAAAGCATCCAGTTACTTAGATAAGCATCAAAAATAACAAACGTATGAGAGATCCAATTGATTGATTGATTGCTGAATCCAAAAATAACATTACCAAACTTACTTACTGAATCATCAAGGAGCAATTAACTATTACATTGATGCCATCAGTATGTATAAGCATCCTAATCAGCAGAAATTATTTCATGGAAAAAACCGAAGCAAAATCCTTGTATTTGATCTCTAAAAGCACAATCAGGTGGAATTGAAGAATTACGGCAATAATCCAAAACATGAATGAGAATTCTGGCATGGAAATTTCTGGAAAAACTTCTCAACAAAAAGGAATAAACAGGAGATGCATGTAATCAGAAGTTAAGTCAAAACGAAGATCGTTTCAAATTGAAAACCAAATCGAGAAAAAAAAATACCTCAGCGGATTCAGGAAATTGATTGTTAACGGAAACCTCGGGTAATTCCTTCAGAAAATCCAGAACAGTAGAATCGTCCTCCGAAACAGCTTTGAATGCAGGATTCAGAGACTTCTTCATGACCTGAAAACACCATTATAATGAGTTCAGAAACCTGATTTTTTTATCAAATTGCTGTAGAACTACAGAGATCTGTTAGGGTTCTCGAGGATTTAAATCCTTACTTTGAACGGATCTGTACTGAGATCGGAAGAAATTTTGGATTTGGTTGGGCGATTTGCAGAAAATTGGTCGCTCTGTGGTGTTTGGATATCTCTCATTTTCAGTGTATTGGGCGGGGTAAGTTTGAAATGCAGCTCACGGAAAAAGTTTGAAATGCAGCCTCTTATTCTTTTATATATATATATATATATATATATATATATATATAGGGGTGCAAGTTGGAACGGAAATTCCGATTTCCGCCGGTTCCGATCCGAAAAGTTCCGATTTTGGAACAACTTTTTTCATTCCGATTTCCGAAATTCCGATTTCCGATTTTTTCCGATTTTTTTGGATTGGAATTGGAATTATATATAAAAAAATTGGAATTTCCGATTTCCGATCCGATTATTTCCGAAATTAATTCCGAAAAAATTCCGATTTTTTTCCGAAAAAATTCCGATTTTTTTCCGAAAAAAAACCGATTTTTTTCCGAAAAAAAACCGATTTTTTTTCCAAAAAATACATCTTTGAGTAATATATATATATATATATATATATATATATATATATATATATATATATATATATATATGTAATATATATATATATATATATATATATATCACATTATCTCGTTGTATTTATTCTTTATGGGCCATGTCACCTAAAAAAGCCCTAGTTTATTTTATGTAAAACCCTAGTTTTACTTTTATTATTTCTTGAACAAAGCCAAAGAGTTTATTTAATTTTTGCTAGAAGTTTTATTGGATATTATGATGTGGTTTATTTTTATTTATTTTTTGAATTGAAATGTAGTAATTATTTTTATCGACGTGGATGTTTTTATTTTTAGCAAATTATGAAATTTTCAGCGAAGTTTCGAAATTTTAATACTTATGTCATTTCCGAAAAATTTCCGAAATTCCGAAATTTCCGGGCCTTTTGGAATTGGAATGAATTTTTAGATTCCGAAAATTTTGGAATTGGAATTGGAATTGATTTTGTACTTCCGATTTTTTTTGGAAATATTCCGAAAAGGCTAATTCCGATCCGATCCTTCCGACTTTCAGCCCTATATATATATATATATATATATATATATATATATATATATATATACTAGTAATCTACCCGTGCGATGCACGGTTAGTGTATTTTTAGATAATATTATTCACTAATATTGTACATATTAAAAATAAAAGAATAATAAGAAATATATTGAATCAAAAAATATTGTAGAGGAATGTGTTGTCATGTTAATGAGAAATGACACAGTCAATATTTAAAGAAACATGATTTAGAATTATAATTCACAAAAAGGCAAAATTCAATGGTTCCAACGGTCAAATAGGTGCACTTAGAACATAGATGTTTATTTTCCCTTTTATCTCAACCAATGTCAAAATGCTTACACCTTAGGAAAATAAACGACCATAAAGCAGTTATAAGTACTGTGCGGGTCACATTATTGGACCAAAATCTGCAAAACAAAAACTCAAACCTTAGTGGCGTATGTGTTGGGAGACATGGTTGCAACCCTAATAAACCATAGTCAAATTCAAAATAAACCATAATGAATCAATCTCGAATGAATTTCTTTTGCAGAAAAAAAAAAAGGAAAAAAGTAAAATAAATAATAAAATGATGAATGAAAATAAGTTGTATATGCAGTTTGCTCGTGAATTCTCTCTTTTGATGCAAGATAGGAAATAAAGATGTAATATATAACCGGTTTTTCCTGTTGGACGGAAGCGATTATCTGAACAATATGCGAAGTGCTCAATGTTAGATGGAATAAAAAAAAAAAACAGAATCAAGTGAAAATGTGAAATACTTCTAAAAAAATGTACAGAACAAAGGCACAACTCGTAAAAAAACGAAAGAAACCAGAAATAAAAAAATATTTGGAATTTTTGTTAACCGATCATCCTGAAAATCACAAATAAAACTAATATGAAAATTAGATAGATAATGATTGAAAGTACAAAAAAGAAGGAAAACCAAAAGACTACAGCCCATAGAATCTCCTCAGGATTCCGAATAATTAGCAACAATCAATTAATTTTAACTCCTATCTATTTTTTTAGTACACTAATTAAAACACGAATCAATGGTTATAAAATTTAAGAAACACAAAGAAAAGAAGAACATGAACCCCAAGAGTTGATTCTCCACCAAAAGAAGGGTCTTTTCGTTCTTCAGATGATACTTCCAATGGCCATAGGCACTGCACACTTAGACATGTATGTTTGCACATATTTTTTGGCATCAGTCATTACATCCATTATAAAGACCAAAAATAAAAAACCCCAGAAATCTATGTAGATATAAATAAATTACCATGTAATATATGTGTTGATTAATGGATCTCATTAAGATCATCTGCGAAAACCCAAAAGGCGCAAAACTCACCCAGCAGCGGGCCATCCTGCAGACTTGTTCCTTCTTTTTACCTATGAAAAAAAGTCAAGGATATAACCATTAATATTCCAACAGAAAAATTAAAAATGAAAATTCGCGGAAGCAAAGAATAACAAAATCTCAAAAAGAAGACATGCAACAAATGCTGAGGAAAGAAAGGGCGGTGGAGTTGTGCCACAAAATCTTTTGCTGGGAAAAAATGGCGGTGAAAAAGAATTGGCGTGGAGATAAGTTGAGAAGTGGAGAGATATAATAGCCGTAGAGAAGAAATAAGATTAGAAAATCGAACGTGGGTAGAGAAGTTGAAAAGTGGGGTTCAGAGAAGTTATTTTTCAAAGAGCTTCTTTTATATATAAGATATATATAATTAGAGATTTCAGAGTTAGTTCCCCCTCTCCCGTGAAAATTGTCAATAGTGTAAGGACAAAATGCATTTCCTCCCCTATAAATTTCTTATTTTGGTAATTTCCCCCCTAAGAATCGATTATCCCCCATCGATATATTTTTTTTGTTGCACTTTACTCCAAAAGGCAATTTTGGTGGGTGCCGTGCGAAAATAAATAATTAAAGGGTCAACATGTAAAAAAAATAATATTTTTAAGGGGCAACGTGCAACAAAAACAACGTGCAATGAAAATAACATTTAAAAGGGCAACGTGCAACAAAAAATACCCAATTCCGATGAATAATCCATCGGAACTTCACTCTCGTGGCAATGTTTAACAAGAGTAACATTTGAAGGGGTGCATTCACTTTTAAAGAATTTGAGGGGATAAAGTGTGAAAATTAGAAATTTATAGGGGACGATGTGCAATTTGCCCATAGTGTAATATTTCTGGCGTTTAAATTTTATGATGTTTATGAAATGTTTTGGGTAGATTAATACTTTCTTACTATCTAAAAGGAACTTTCAGTACCACTTTTTTTAATCAAAAAAACAATAAATAACATTATTTGAGTAAAAAACAAACATAGGTTATAATATTAATCATTTTAGGTCTCGTTTAGTTGCCAGAATAAGATTAGTTGAGATAAGATTAAATAATCTAATGAAATCCAATTATATAATTGGACCTCCCCTGATCCAATAAATAACATGCCTTGAAGGCAAGATAAGCATGATAATATAATATTTGCGGATCGACCCGACAAGTTATTAGAGATACCAAACATTAAGTAAAGTCCAATTATTTAGTTTATCATGGTTAATCTCTCCAACCAAACGAGACCTTAATGTTTAGGATATGGTGGTAGGGTAATTTTAGCTCGATTGATACTAATGATTAATTGGGTAAATAGACATGATATGGTCAATTAACTTGTTCGATTAGTTAATTTATATGAATGGCATCTGATACATAATCACGGATTATAAATATAAAAGAAAAAATCTATATTTATGTTTAATACTCTCTTCTAAATATCTGTCACTTTTTTTAAAAAAATTATCTCATATTATTTGACTTTATATTTCCAATATTACATTAATTACATAATTTTCAATTCTAACCATATTAACTATCTTCATTACTCTCTCTTCTTATTAATTCATTTTTTTCTCTCTTGTTAATTGAATCTGTAACAATGCTAATAATTCTTTTCCCAACATAACTATTTCATACGTGAAAAGAATATACATTGGGTGATAAAAGTTTGGGTAAATAGCATTTAATTTCTTTATGGTTACAAGTTTTTGCAGATGACATTCTTGTGCTCGTAATATCAGCACATAACCAACCCTCTTGTGGTATATGGGGTAGCTTCTGTTAATTTTTTAATCGAACTTAACCACGTGTATAAAACTTCAAGGGGGTCCTCTGCAAAATAAAAGGGAAAATAAAAGTAAAAGGAGGTCATCTGCAAAAAAAATATTTTGACGTTTGATACATACAGTTAAGTATGACGGGAAAATTAACGAAAGTTACCCCCATAAACCACAAGGAGTTATGTACTGATATTACGAATATAAGGAGATCATCTACAAAAAGGTTATAACGATGGGGGATTAACTATTAAGTGTTATTTACCTTAAAAGTTTATCTCCCAACTCAACCTAACACATTATCTTTCCACTCCCTTCTCTTTAATACTTAAACTTCCAATTCTTTTAATAACGCTATATATTCAACATTAATCTTCAAGAAATGCAGCATGTTGATTTGATCAACTGTTGGAGGCTTCATTTTATGTTCCTATATCTCTTTATTTAGATCTACTACAAATAATGGTGTATCCATTTTATTTTAATATTTAACAATCACAATAATGCATTATATAGAAAAAGTTGTCGGAAATGAAAAAGTATTTCAAGAAAATTTAGCAGAAATTTGAACTTTTTGGCTGCAATACTTTTAGGCCCCTTTTAGTTGGAGGGATGGGGTGGGATGGGATTGGGGCTTCATATTGAAATTACACTGTATGGATTAGTGAAATATGGATGGTATCTCGAGTTTGGTTGGTTGGATACGGATATGTGGGATTATATCCGATTGGGCCAAATTTAGGAATGGTTGGGAGGATTGGGTGGGATAATTTAGTTAATTACATTACCACCCTTGCAAGCCTTTTTATTATTATATTATTCACCTGTCAATTTTGTAAATATTGCTTGGTGCACCCATTTTTTCCTCCCATTTTCATGAAAATATAAAATCAGCCCTATCATTTTCAGATAATTACATTATCACCCCTTGCAAGCCCTTTTTATTATTATATTATACGCCTGTCAATTTTTAAAATATTGGTTGCACCACCCATTATTTCCTCCAATATTCCTTTAATTTAAAAGCATCCATAACATGGATAATTACATTACCACCCCATGCAAGCCCTTTTTATTGTTATATATACACATGACAATATTTAAAATATTGCTTGCACCACCCATTCTTTCCTCCTATTTTCCTGTAATTATAAAATCAGCTCTAACATTTTCGGATAATTACATTCTTTCCTCCTATTTTCCTGTAATTATAAAATCAGCCCTAACATTTTAGGGCACAAAGAGATTTTTTTGTTGGACACGTTTTGTATGATAACATTCTGACTACTGATTTTTATTTGAATGTTTGATGAAATTAATTCCCTACAAAAAATAAAAACTGATCCTTTAATTACGTAGATAGGTTGGTTTTACAAACGATCACATCATATGTGGTGAGTTGCTTCATGCTTCCTAAGGGACTATTAAAGGATTTGGAATCGGCTATTAGAAGATATTGGTGGGGTCCCGGAAAAGACAGAAGCATTGCATGTACGGATGGCATCGGGTTGGCTCTGGGCCGGATTTGTCTAAACCCAAGATCCGACCCACGAAAAATATATAAACTTCAGACCTGCCCCAACCCGTTTTAGCTTAGACCCAGACCCGCCCCGACCCAGATCCTAACTAAACGGTTCTGATCCGCCAGGCCCGCTAGACTCGTTAACATACAAAATGTTTAATATTTTTTAACTTTCATAACATTTTGCTTGTATATTTTATCTCAATACTAAAATACAATATTTTGAAAAATCTCTACAAGTGATATAACATGAACAATAAAATTATGTAACGATTGCAGACATATATCCAGAGCTCGTATGAAATTATCACCAAAAGAAAGAGCTCGATGATGGGAATCCAACGGTAGTTAAACCATCGAATTCCGACCATTTAAGAGAGAGGTATGACTTCGAGAAGCAACATCGCTAGTTGGAAACCTGTGGGAGCAAAATTTTGGATCTGATGGTGGAAGAGGACGAGAAAGAAGAACAACGTGCCAATTCGAAAATTGATCTTAAAGGGGCATTTTAGCTGATTTAAAGTGGTATATTAAAATCCGATTAAAAAAGAGAGGTATACATGAAGATGCAATATCCTTGATATTTAGTTCAAAATATTTCCAATACGAAGGGGACCATGAAGTAATTTGATAAATTTTTAATTAAAACTTCTAAATTCATAAAAACATAATTATTGATTTTCCCTTTAATTTTTAAAAGTATATACTTTTATATTTTGGACCAAATTTGTCTTGCTCCTAAAACACTCCCAAAAGGCAAAAACTGCACAATCACAAATATTAGGGAATTAATCAATAATATATAGGTATTAAATCATGAATTGCAATATCCATAAACTGAACAATCATAAATTAGTCAAAGTAAAAAATATACATGAATTACAATATCCAATTTTTGTCAGACAATTAATTTTGGACAAGTAAGGATCACCAGTTACCAAAAAGAAATCATTCAAATCCATACAAAATGAACTAGTCTAATACATATGAAAGTGCATTTTCCTAAATCTTAATTTAATTAGCTCCCTTCATTACAAAAAAAGATGGAATTCCTAAATCTTCATCACAAAAAACCTGCACCCACAAAAAATATCTTCACTGGGATCCCATACCATATCTTCAAGAAAATCTGTAGACAGAGAAATATGTGTTAAATTAAAATCTCACAACACAGATGATAAGTGGTTTGATTGACAAATTGGTTTCTCAGCAAACGACAAACCGTGACGTGTGGTTGGGTAATACTAATATGTACACTCGAATAAACAAAAGAATATTCACAATATTGAAAAATAACACATATGTATGACCCCATTAATTTCGTAAACACTTGGTCAAGCAAGGCATCAGTAGGCAGTAGCATTTATTGGAAAGCTTAGAATTCAGAAAAAGAAAAAAAATTGTACAAGAGCTTGTATAACTAATATATATACACATTAACCAAAAAAAAAAAACCCTTTCTAGAGATTTCGGTTTTCCCTTTAATAGTGAAAATAAACAGAGAAAGGGCATCATAATTCCATAGTGTATTTATCAGCAGAGGAATAATTCCTTTAGCAAAAAAAAAGCCAATTATGTAAGCAGCAAATAAATCACAAAGATTCCAACAAGAACATCATTCATTTTTCAGTAAAAAATAATAAAACCACATTTTCACGCCCAACTGCAATTTAGATGAGAACATGCAAAAGACAGTCTATTCAGCAGATAGGTATACAAGTCTTGACAACGCTTTTCACTTTTTTTTTTTTCATTTTTTTTTTTCCTGAATTCATGCTTGAAATATCACTTAGTTCACTGAAATAATCTCTAATCTAATTTTTTTCCTCTTTAACCATAGTCCATTATCCTTGCCACTTCCATCAACAATCGCATATCCAGATATCCTTCATTTAAGTCATTTAATTTTTCTTTTGCTTAACTCCAAATAAGAGAGCAAACAACACCATATCTAGATCCTATGTCACTTCAAGTATGTTGAATAGCAAAAAAATTATACCATCATACCTTAAGTAGGCATGTGTAGGCCGTCGTTCATTGGGCCAAGAGTGAATCCGTGCAACCTCTTTTGAGCATCATCTGTGTCATTAATTTAATAAAAAGTAGTTAAAAATGATACATAAAAATAAATAATTGAAAGTGTAATTATAAGGAAAGAGTTTTAAGAGAATTTACCCCAATGGATGATGAACATCCAACCGAGGAAAACGATCAAGCACACCAACGAAACCACAAGACACACTACGAGATAGCGGGCCACATCCTCCTTAAATTGCCCATGCTCAAGTGTACTCTTCAAAATCGACACTTTATCTATGGCCGTATCGAGTTTCGCTGTATTGAGTCGCCCGACTTCATCATTTACCGCATTGGTTCCCCTTAAATTCTTGTGAATTGAATTAACTTCTCCCAAGACTCCATCAAGTTGGTCTACGTCACTGATCAACGATGATCTGCTCCGCTCTATTACAATTAATTTCCATTCAAAAGTTCTGCAATCGTTCTGTGCCATTGTGTGAACAAAGGCAGCTAGGGTGACGTAGGCGACCAGAAAGAGCAACAAAATCACATACAAAGCCCAAAACGAGTCTTTAAGAACTCCGCTCGATGTGAGTGCGGACATGGCCGCAATGAATGTCAGAAAGGCCACTAAACTACTGTTGAGCTGTGTGTACACACTCCTGCAAAGATCTTTGGCAGAAATCTCTTCATTACCAAGGGTAGTCCTCCTCAGCTCTAAACCTTCGATCCTCGTCAGCAGATGTGGTAATATGGCGGCTGAAATTTTCAAACAAAGTACACAGATATTAATAATAAATAATGAACAAATAAATTGAAACATATATCGGTAACTAATTACCAATGGATGCATGGTCGACAAGAGAAGCAATGTCGAGCAAGAGATTCTGCTCGTTCGCATTCTCAGCATTATCGTCAACTCTCTCAATCAGCTGCTGTTCCAGATTGTCAGCTCTCTCAGTAAGTTGTTGTGCCAAATTGGCAACCCTCTCAGTAAGCTCTTGTGAGAAATTGTCAACCTTCTCCGCAAGTGCATCTATCTGTTCTTCAAACCTCTCGGTGAGCTGCTGCAGTGCTACTGCCAAACTGTCGACCCTCTCAGTAATTGCATCTCTAAGAGTCTCGTAATCCGCATATCTTTGATTTTTTATATTCTCAATAACAGCTTCCAGTTTCTCAAACCTTTGTACCACCAAGTAATCTGAAAATTTTCCACAACAAAAAAAAAAATAAAAAAAAAAAAATAATTAGAAGATCGTCGAGAAATTAATATAATAATACTGTGTTTACTACTTAACGACGACTTACCGGAAGAATAAGGAGGAGGAGGGTTAATCTCCTCCTCAATCTCGTGGCGGATCGGTTGGTTACTCGTATTAGGAACGGGATCTCTCTCGCGGCCATATTCCTCAACAATAGGAGAAGAACCATCTTTTTCTATTTAAATGAACAAAAAAATGAATACGCATTTAATAAATAAAATAAAATAAATAAATCACCGACACAACAAGTGTATTAAATTACCTGTTGAAGAAGATTCATCTTTGGCTTGATTCTCGACACCTACATCCAAGTTTAGGAAAAAAAAAATTTATTATTATTTTAGACGAGCTTAATAAGGATTAATGTATTGTATTTAGGGTTAGGGGTAAGACAATCATACCTTCTAAATCCATTTCTCTCCAACAAGATTCCCCGAATCTCTCTCTCTCTCTCCGAATCTCTCTCTCTCTCTCTCTCTCTCTCTCTCTCTCTCTAAGTCTTTAGCGGCCGTTTCTCACCAGTAAAACCCTTCAATTTCTAAGATTGACCTTTTCGGGTTTAACTTTAACCTTTAACTTTCTATATTTTCTTTTTTCCTTTTTTTTTTTTGGAACAAATATTTATTAATAATAAATATTTATTGAGAATGTTTTGGGCTAATAAATATTTACTGAGAAAAAGGGATTCCACACATATTTTGACACGTGGCAGATTTGCTATTAAACTAACCAAGTAGTGAAAGAAGAAACAAAGGGTAAAAGACCTACTGACATGTGTAATCTAACATATTCTAAATATTGATTTTTTTCCTTTTTCTCTTTTTTTCTTTTTCTTTTTTTCTTTTTTTTTTAATTAATGAAATATTCCTATAATTGATTTAGGAATTAGGATTTAACTGTTGAGTTTTTTTACCATTCTTAATTCAGGATTTTAAATTTCTACCAAAGTAAATCGTTGTTTAATTTTATTCATTTGATTAATTTGTTTTCAGTGATTTTTATTTCTTTTGTGTAACCCCTAATAATTTCAAACTAAATCCAATTTCTATTTATTTTCATAATTACATAGACACTTCTTTATGTAAGTGTAAAATGTTTAATTTTTTATTTTGAGACAAAAATGAAGTTAAAAGAAAAATTAATTTAGTTTCCAAAAGCACATCGTTCCCTTTTGTGCTGTTTAATGTTATTATGAATAATATTAAATTCTAAATTAGATGTCACCACAGTAGTGCATTAATTACTAAAACTTTATAATATCCCACGTGTCGAAATGTGGGTGGAATCCGTTCTTCTCAATAAATCGGCGGCTTAATCACACTTTTCAGCATCGAAATAGAGTTTTTTTGACACTTTGCACCCTTAAAAAACAATATTATCACTTTGCACCCTCAAAATACAATAAATTACCCAATGTCCCTTAATCGAATAATAAACAAAATTTCATTTTTATTGCATTTTTTTTTGGGTTCAAAATACATTAAATTATTTTTTTACTTGGTACAATATCCAACCTAATTTCGTGCGCAAAAATTGCTAAAAAATAAAAATCACACCGGATTATTGAATTTTTTTATATTTTCTTATAAAATAAAATAAAATAAGTTATTATCACTAAATTATTCGATTAATGAATTTTTTATTGTAATTGTTGGAAAAATTATGTAGAAATATTTGGAAGAAAATATGATTTTCATGTAATTTGATAATGAAAATAGCTTAAGGATTTTGTTATGGTAAATTATTTTTTTGTGATAATTTCTTTTTTAAATATGTTTATAAAAATTATGAAATGTATTTTTATTTTTTGCACTTTATAGTTTCAAAATGATTGATGAATAAAAAAAATTGATTTCACATTTGGAATTCTAAAAGAATACCACTAAAATATTAAATTGTCTTTATTAGCTTTAAAAATTCATTTGGAGTGCATCATACATGATATATTGTGTTTCTAGGGGGGCAAAGTGCTATTAATTTGTTTCGAGGGTGTAAAATATCAAAATGGTATATTGCAAGGGCACAAAGTGAGATTAAGCCTAAATCGGCTACTCAATTCACAATGTAAACCCTTTATTTTAATGTAAAATGGATTTTTGAATCTGATGATTCCAATAAAAAAAATCAATTTTAGGACAATTTTTTTTTAATTACAGAAATTTCAATTTTTTTTTTTTTTTTTGGTGTGTGTGAGAGAATAGTTATTTCTATGCTACGCCCAATGAAGATTACCTCGGGTGATTTTTTACTACTCATCTACACACACCAGTGTGAATGTTGTTTGTGTGTATATAAATAATAAAGATCTACCCGGTGTATTTCATCCGGTATAGCATAGAATAGACCGTGACATAATGAAACTAGATTAGTTTTCAATCTAAAAACAGATACTGATTACCACGGTATACCTACCACAGATTACCGAATAAATACCGAACTATCGGTTACCATTACATTTGGTACGAGTATCGGTACCGAGCCATTATCTTACGGTACAGTACCAGTATTGTATTTTCAATACCATATACCGGACCGCAACTTTGTATTTTAAAAAATTAGTAAATATATGTTTCCTTCTATATTGTTAAATAAAAAAAGGGTAAATTACAAACACCCCCTGAGGTATGGTTAAATTACAAAACCCCCCTCTTGTTTGGATAATTACATCTACCCCTCAACTATGATTTGTTCTTACACCTCCACCTTATGGTGCCAAATTCAACATAATCATCTAGATTTCGTGAAATGTGCTCTAGTTTGTATTCGTTTTGTGTAAAAATACAGTTTCCGATGCACTACAAACTAATATATACAAGCTAAAAATCACATATTATGATCATCTTGCTTCATAATGTAGAGTTTGAATGAGATAAAACGGGTACAAAAGTGATAATATTCCATATAATCTCGAAAATTCCACTAAATTTGAGGAGTTGAGGGGGTGGTTGTAATTATCCAAACAAGAGAGGTGTATTTATAATTTGACCATACCTCAGGGGTGTGTGTGATTTACCCTAAAAAAATATAGTCAACAAAGTCCAACTAATATCTTATTGGTGGAATACTATTTTGAAAAGAGTAAAATTCAGAATTTTGATAAGTGACATGCATGCCCTCAATATTGGTTCCGAGCTCCGACTACTAATACACAAAGTAGTTTAAAGTTTAAACCATGGTTACGATTTTCAATTCGATTCTTTTTATATTATATTTTTTTAGTGAAGCAACAAAATCTAAACATACCAACAAAACAAGTTGTTTAATATGTTCTTACTAATAAAAATGAAGCAACAAGACAAACATACTTAAATTACTTATTCACCGATTACTCAATAATGCGAAAGATGTAAAATGAATGTAAAAACTTAAACATATTAAATTATTTTTTCCAAAACAATTATTATTAAATATTTAAGGGTTAAACACAATTCGAACCCCTGTACTATGACCACTATCGCATTTACCCTCGAACTACGAAATGCGATAAAATGGTCCCTTGTGTTACCAGTCAAGTATTAAAATTTTGTCATCGTTAGTTTGTACAGTCTAATTACCTTTTACCCTTGCTTTACAATATAGAAAAAGACATTTTCATGCCATTTTTTGAGACATAATTCGAGGGTGAGAAATTATATCCCTTTTTCCCCTTTTTGTTCTCATTTTCAACAAGTTTAAAATAATAAAGTATTATGGATTTTGTCGTTCTGAAAAATATCAGTCTTGAGGAAAAAGAAAAAATATAATATGACGATGAAATAAATGATTTTAAATTTCCAGATCAAAAAAAAATTAATAAAATATTTTTTTTATTATTTTTATATTTTGTTGAAATTTCTGATAAAATACTTTTATTTTTCTATAATAATTTTGCCAATTTTTTTTAAATAATAGAACTTATTTATTTATTTAGTTTTTTTACTTATATTCTAATGGAGGGGTAAAATTGTCACAAAAATATCAAAAAAATTGTTCAAAGTGCCACATCATCCATGTTTGACGGAAAGACTATCAAATGCTAACAACATGGGCCATTTTGTTGCATTTCATAGTTAAGGGGTAAATGCGACACTGATCATAGTACATGGGTCAAATTGTATTTAACACAATATTTAATTGGGTAAATTACACCCACCCCCTGAGATATACTTAAATAATTTTTAAGGTCTCTATGGTATTGATAATTACATTCACCCCCTGAAACGTAGTTATAAACCTAACGGGATAATGCAGTGGATACATTATTCCTATAGAGTTCTAATAAACTATTACTTTTAGCTAGCGGTGGAGATAATATAGGATTATGGGGAGTTATGTGGTGACATGGCTCCCCAAATATGTCTTAAATCACCCATAACTCTTTGTTGTCTCCACCACTTCCTAAAACCAATAGAGCGTTAGAACTCTATAGTAATAACGTATCCAATGCATTATCCCATTAGAGTTTATAACTATGTTTCAAGGGGGTGAGTGTAATTATCGATACCACAGGGATCTTAAAGTTATTTAAGCATATCTCAGCAGTGTGGGTGTAATTACCCTATTTAATTTGTGTGTATTATTGTTCACAGGCCTGAGTTTATTTTTTAGCATCCAACCTGTCGCCCTACTAAATCATACCGATTCTTTACCGAAATATTTCTACCGAATAATTATTGTACTATGTCATACCATACCGAAACGAGTTTTGAAAATTTGAATGAGGGGGCTGCTCTTGGAGCAAATAGTGGGGAAACTAACCAAATGTGGAAGGATATTTGGAAAATGAAAATTCGAAATGCAAGACAATTAGCGGTAATCGACTAATGATAAATATGACTTACGAGGAATGAGATTTGAAAAAATAAAACCGTGAAAATCGGTAAATAAGGATAGACAAGATGGGAATTGATAGTTTGATAAATTAAATATATATATTAACCATTATAAAATATATGTATACGGATCGGTTCCAATAAGACCCATAACCCGACACAGAATCATCTGCTTCTAGAAAGTTAAACGGTCTCCAGCATAGACTTTCTTTAAAAGTTTTTTGTCTAACATTTCTTTCCGGCCGGTCAATCGTCGATCTCCGGTGTTGACTTTAATTTATAATTTATTTATTATTTTTCTTAACTTGATTGAAAAAAAGAAATTATTTGCATCAATATTACTGCTTGGCTTTCAATATTACTATTTGATACAATAATATTGCAGGCCAAGACAGTAATATTACAATGGGAGATAGTAATTTAACTGTTTGAGTGTAATATTACTGTCCGAAAATAATAATCTTACTATATTAATTAATTAGATCCTCTTGCATGCAATTTTACTGTCTCGTGCAGTAATATTATTGTGTGGGATAGTAATATTACTAATATTATTGTCGCAAACAGTAATATTAGATAATAACATTAATAATATTATTGTCCCGAACTTTAATATTACTGTTTTGATGTTCAATATTATTGTCTCAGACCATAATTTTGTTGTTAACACAGTAATTGAGAGAGATAATAAAAATTTCAAAAAAAAAAATCAATGGCGGAGACTAGCGATCAACGGCGGTTGACAGGCCGGAGAAACTTTAGAAAGAAAAATTCTGAAAAAATATAAATAAATAAATAAAAAATCAATGGTGGAGACCGGCGATTGACCGACCGGAAAAAAAAAAGTTTTGAGAAAAAAAAAAGTTAACGCCAGAATCTGGCCGGAAAAAAACAATTTTTCTAAAAAAAAAAATATTTTTTTTCAAAAAATTATGTAATAGGGGTTAATGTAATATATTTTTTCGAAACCAGGTTCAATGTGCAATGTTGATGAAATTAGAGTATAGTATATGGAATTGATGAAAATTAAATTATGAGGGTATTTCAGATGAAAAAGATAGGGATGATTTTATTTGCGAGACTTTTTTTGTCGGGACCTATGCGCTTTTAAACCCCTTGTATGTAGGGTTGTGCGTAGGTTGGTTTGGTTAAAAATCAGTCATGAAACCAACCCAACCCATCCGACCAACTTTGGTAAATATTGAAAACCGTTATCGACCCAAGGGGTTGTCTAGGGTCCGACAAGGGTTGTACTACTCGAACCCAAACGATTGAAAATCAACCAATAAAAATGTGACACGTATGATTTGTACGAACCCCACAAAAAAAGTACGATACCTACCTTATAAGTGAAATTACATAAAAAACCCTATAACTAAAACTTAAGTAACAATTAATAATAATTAATAATTAGGGCCATGACATGGGATTTAAATGCACATTGGTCCACATAAACAACAATCTTTTAAATAAACCCATCACCATGTCTTTACTCTAAAATACCCTCCATAATATATTTTTTATCAATTTCATCCATTATACTCTAACTTCCTTAATATTACACATTGACCCCGAATTTAAACAAATATATCACATTAACCCCCATTTTAATAATTTTTTGAAAAATTATTTTTTTTTTTAGAAAATAATTTTTTTTCTGAAAATTTTTTTCTGGCCAGATTCCGGCGTTGTCCGACATTGACTTTTTTTTTTTGAAAACATTTTTTTTTCTGATTTTTTTTTTCCGGCCAGTCAACCGCAGTTGACCGCCGCTCTCCGACGTTGACTTTTTTTTTTTAATTTTGTTTTTGAAAAAAAAAATCTTAGATAAAAATATTTTAATTAATATTACTATCTTGCCTACTAAATTACTGTCTCATACAGTAATATTACTTTTTCAGACAATAATATTACTGTTTCAGATAGTAGTATTATGAATATTATTTCCCGAACTGTAATATTACTAATATTACTGTCCCAAACAGTGATATTATTGCTTGAGACAGTAATATTACGGTCGAAGACAATAATATTACAGTCGAAGACAACAATAATGCAGGCCAAGACAATAAAATTAATTAATACAGTAATATTATTGTCTCAGACAGTTAAATTACTGTTGGAGACAGTAATTTTGAGCCAAGACAGTAATATTAATTAAAATATTTTTTTAAGAAAAAACAAAATTTCAAAAAAGAAAGTCAATTAAGAGTTAAATTATTATATCCGAAAGCTAAATGACTGTAGCAAGATAATAATATTAATTAAAATATTTTTTTTAAGAAAAAAAAAGTCAATTAACAGTTAAATTACCGTCTCCGACAGTTAAATAACTGTGGAGACAGTAATTTAGCAGTCAAGATAGTAATATTAATTAATATATTTTTTTTAAGGAAAAAAAGGTTAATTAACATTAAATTACTCTCTCCGATAGTTAAATAACTGCTGAAGACAATACTTTAACAGCCAATACATTAGTATTAGTTAAAATAGTTTTTTTTTAGAAAAAACAAAATAAAAAAAAAAATAAAATCAAAGCCGGAGACCCTGCGATTGAGCTACCGGAAAAGAATTTCAGAAAAAAAGAAAAGTTTTGAAAAAAAAAAAAGTTAACGCCGGAGACAGACCCACGGTCTCCGGTGGTGGCGAGGCAAAATTGGGGTCACAATTGAAATTATGGAAAAAAAATTGGTTAATTAATGGAATTGGGCTAAATTAGTTAGTCGAGGTATGATCGTTGAATTTTTTTTTCATTTGGGGGGCAAAAAGCAAAAATGACCAAAGTTAGGGGTAAAGTACAGTTAACCCTACTTTTAATTCTCTAGTTTAATAATGTAAGGTTAATAAAGTAATTTTACATGAAGTACGATGTAGTACGACCTTTGTACGATCTATTTTTACTGGGTTCGTACTTTAATTTATAAATTCATAGGTTCGTACTGGATCGTACTAGTTCGTACTTTAAATCAACGACTATAAATTTTTACTAAATATTTTCTACATACGCACCAGATTAAATCGTTTGGGTCCGAGTGGTACGACCCCTCTCGGACCCTAGACAACCCCTATTTACATGGGTTGGGTGATGGTTGAAAACCAATTTCGTGGATCGGTTGATGGTTTGGTTGATGGGTCATCCATTTTTTTAATATTTTATTAGTTGTCACAACGTTATATCTTTTATAAATAAATGTGACTAGTTCAACAATATTCGAATAAAAAATTCAAAACATTACGGACATATGTATTGCAATTAAACATAAATAATTCATCGTCCAAATATTTAGGCTATATGTCTTAAAATTAAAATAGTTCAAATTAGATAATTAGGTTATATTTATTGCTTTTAGGATTTTAGTCAATATTAGACAATTTAATAAATGTGATATAAAATAGAAATTTGAAATTAAAAATATTAAACATTTTAATTAAAATTAATAAATAATAAATTAATAAATAAAGTTGGTTGGCCGATATTAGCGACTAACCAACTTTTTAGCATATTAGAAACCATTATCGACCCAACTATACATGGGTTGGTTGACATTATCGACACAACTTAAATGAGTCGATTGATAGTTGATTATCCATCACAAATTATGGATCGAAAATAGGTTGGTTGGTGGTTAAAACCATGGTTATCGAATCGGAAAATATCAGCGTATCGTTTTCCTCCGTGTATCGTATCGTATCGTATGATATTTAATTAACTATTAAAAATAATAAAATATATATATATATATTTACATAATAGTAATACCATAAACATGTAAAATTTAATATTTTAAAGTCAAATCAAGTTTCAAATACCATAAACATGTAAAATTTAATATTTTAAAGTCAAATCAAGTTTCAAATTTCAAAATTGCAATATAAAATAAAATCATAGTTGCTCGTAACATAACATCAACAAAATTCAAATTCGAGTTCCTAATTTTTAAAAGACTAATCTATCACTCATAAATTCGCACTTGAATTGCAAAGAACTAACAAGAATCTATAGAAATTGAGTTAGAGCAACTCCAATGGGGGAGATATCAAAATAAAGCATTAAACATTCATTTGATACTTGATATAATACTTTGATACTTCTAGGAAAAAAAAGTCACTCCAACCACAAATACCAAATATATTATCAAATTTTAAATATATGAATAATTATATTATTAAATGTCATTTGTCAAATAGTGATAGGTTAATGGAGTGGTTATATTTTTTGTACCTCATTTTCCAGGGAATATTTTTGCACCTCGGAGTGGTTGAATATCAAAATAATTCTCACTTTAATGCCTCCATTGGAGGAGGATTTTTTAATTTTTAAGTATCAAAGTGATAGTTTTTTAGTTTGATACTTTATCTGGTTCCTCCATTGGAGTTGCTCTTCGGGTTGTCATATTGTGATATTTTTTGAAGAAATTGAAGTGAGAAAGGTGAATTAGGGTTGTGAATTTGAAGGGTTGTTTTGAAATCCGTTTTTCAACCCTGAAACTGTGAATATTTCGTTTTTTTCTTTTTTTCTTTTGTTTTTTTTTTCCCTTTTTTTTTTAAATATTTTGTCTAATATCGTAAATATCGTATCGTATCGTGATATGGCCATACGATACGATATCTCGCGATATTTACCGATATTTAAACATAGCCGATACAGAGTCCGAGTCGTATCGTTTTGATTGGGACCGTATCGTATCGCGATAAATATCGCGATATCTCGCAAGTTTAACTACCATGGTTAAAACCGATCCATGCTCAGCCCTACTTGTATGAGTCTATTTGCCATTTGTGCATGAACTATATATTTTAATAAATAAATAAATAAAAGATTTTACTAGAAAAGATTTTATATACAAATTAGTGAGTCAGCAAGTTATAAGGCCACGTCACCAGGTCAGACAATCTTCTACTATATTATATTTTCAGACAATCGAGTACGTCATCAAATAGATTTAGGTTTATGAGGTTTCTACCTTTTATATCTCTCCACACAAAACCAGAGCAATTTTCTCTCCGCAGCGCAGAGGCATAATTTATTTATTTGATTTCGCCGATCCAGGTATGCAAAATTGATATAATCTCTTCTCGAATTTATTTATCTTAATTCTATTTTTATAAAATCATCTGATTATACAAATAACTGCTATTTTTCTCATCTGCTACATCTCAACTTTATTTTTCTTAGTTCGAATTTTATAAAGCAGGAGGGTTTTTTATTTTATTTTTTTCACTTCGTAATTTGACCTTAACTCAGGGGTGACCGTAATTTACCCTAACTATATTTATAATTTTTAAAATCGTGGTGATCAATTGTAAGTTTCAATTTCTCAATAATTTTGTTCTATGTTTTTAGCTTTATGGAAGATTCATCTGATTTATACAAATAATTTCTTGTTTGTTTTGTATTGATTTTGTGATTGTACTCAGTTGTAAGCTATTATTCAGGCTGAATAATTATTTATTTATTCTTTCTTTTTTTTTGGTTGATAATATTTCACAGGTAATATATACAATATGGTCCTTGAATGTTATAATTGGCTCCTTCACCTTTTTAATCAAATAATAATTGGTGACAATTTTGATGATAAGAAGAAGTGGCGGCTAAGTTTGACTTTGCCGTCGTGGTCAACGCATCAAATCAGAGATAGACCACGGATTCTTCGCTATTTTTGTTATTACGGTACTTTGCAGATTTCTATTATTGATGGCAAATCTGGAAAGGAGTGTAAGATGATGGGCCTCAAGTCAATATGGAATGCTTATTTCGCCGGTTGTTGCAATGGATTAGCTTTGTTTCAGACGTCCGGTCCTTCATGTATTGTTGTCAATCCTTTGTCAAAGAAAAGTATCCAAACAATATATGGTCCTTTTTGGGGAGGTCAATCATGTGGTTTCTTTTTTCATCCTGTGGCAAAAGAATATAGGATTCTCAATGTGGAGAGAGTAGAAATCGATGAATACGAGTATCAAATTTACTTATTTGGTGCAAAAAAATGGAGGAAAATTGCCAATCCATACTTTTCTCGCAGACCTACACACTACCGAAACAAACCCGATAAAGAGATCATTGATGGAAATCCAGCAATTGTGAATGATGCTTTGCATTGGTGCATGAATGAAATAATCATGGTTTTTGACATTATTAAGGAAGAGTTCTCGGTTAGACCTGCTCCTTTACAGGACAAAAGCTACTACCGGATGCGGAATCTTTATGTGAAAGACGATCAATTATGTTTTTGTCGTCTGAGACATGGAGAACCGTTGATGGATATATGGATTTTGGAGGACTATGAAAATTGGAGTTGGGTTAGAAAGTACGTCGTTAATCTCGATTGGGACATGAACAAGTATCCTGTGGAAACAAGTTGTGGTTCAAACTTATGGATAATGGGTAATATAAGAGTTATCAGCATTAGAAACAATGAGTTGGTGTTGTTTTGGAAACGCAGAGGAATATTTTCCTATCATTTGGAATTTAACACCATTGAGAAACTTCATTTAAGGAAGTCTAAGATGGATGATATTATTGATACTTATTATGATTGGACATGTGGCTTCGAGGCTTATAACGAAACCACGAGTGGCTAAGTGGACAACCGGTGAATCGATTGTTTTGATACATAAAATTATTGTTTATGTGTTGGATTGTTGTTTTATTGCATTGTTAATAGATTGTTTGATTCATAAATGTTTTATTTTGTAAGCTTCAGTGACACAGTGGCCTTGTTCTATTTTTATTTCTCTCTATTATTGAATCCTTTTGAGGTATAATCTAATCGCAGAGATAAGGTTCAAATCATTCGAACAAATCAATAGTAAATCATTCTCTGCACATGTAGTATTTTGTTATATATTCACCAAAGAGTTGGATTTTAAAATCCGATTTCCAATCAAACTTTGGCCTCTTTTTAGGTTAACATGATACACCCGTGACCCGTGCGATCCACGCGAAAAGTACATATTACTAATCTACAGTCGAATAAAAACATAAACGTATACATGATTTTTTAACTTGAAAATTTAATTTATCTTCTTACATCCAATAATACAGCTACTACGATAGCAAAAAATATTTCATGACTAACAAATAATAGGGTTTATGAAATGCGGCAAAACAGCCCCTCCCGTCCATCTCTGTTAAAAAAACTGTCACTTTCAATTGTTTACTATCCGTGGCATTCACCGTTGGAATTTTTCTGACCAAAATATCCATCTATTGTGTATAAAAGATGTACATCATCTTCACTCATTTGTACTCAATTTCTTCCCTATTTCTTCGTAATTTTTTTGCTTTCAACCCTTTTCTTTAACGGATCTAACATTATACCCTACATAAAAACATGAAAAATAGGTGAATTACAGAAGCACATTGTAGCCAAAATCCCCAAAATTCCCAAAATTTTGAAAATCCCTAAACACAAATTTTTGAAAATCCCCAAAATTCCCAAAATTTTGAAAGTCCTCGTGTTATAAAAATCAGCAAGAACCCCTTCTGTGGTGTTTCACAAAGACCACTGCCCGTAGATTCAAAAAATTATGTAGACTTGAAAGAAATGAGTGAACTATCCAAAAGAATATATAATAACAGTTGAGTTTCGTAAGAGAAAATATTAATTCAATATAATAAAATTAGGGGCTCAGAGAGATAACCCCTCAATACTTCTTTGAATATAGGAAGGTCCAAAAAGTTTGGCACCATATGAGGAAAAACCCACTCCAAAAATCAGCCACTGATTGTTACATATATGTCCCTCCACCTTACACATAGCCATGACCCACGAGCCCACTATCCCCAGGAGCCATAGCCGTCTCTCTCTCTCTCTCTCTCTCTCTCTCTCTCTCTCTCTCTCTCTCTCTCTCTCTCTCTCTCTCTCTCTCTCTCTCTCTCTCTCTCTCTCTCTCTCTCTCTCTCTCTCTCTCTCTCTCTCTCTCTCTCTCTCTCTCTCTCTCTCTTGCATCTCAAAAAATTTGGTTGAAGTTGTAGAAGAATTTGACTTTCTTATTATTATTTTTTTATTATTATTTTTTTTTAAATTAATTTTTTTTTTCGTTTTTAACTTTTTTTCTCTATCAGGTATGTTAATCGACTACGAAGCATATTAAATCGACTATGATGAACTATAGTCGATTAAGGAACCGACTACTAAAAATAACAAATTACAACTACAAAAATGCAAACTCAACTATATTTTACAAAAACAAACAATATACAAACATAATAATTGATTTATACAATTGAAATCAATAAACAAAAAAATTCAAAAAAATAAAAAATAAAAAATTGGAGTCGATCAAGCATATTAATCGACCATGATGTGAAACATAGTCGATTAGAATCTGCTATTAAAAATAACAAATCACAACTGCGAAAAAATGTAAACTTAACTATATATTAAAAAACGAAAAATATACAAACATTATAAACGATTTATACAATTAGAATCAATAAACAAAAAATCAAAAAAAAAAAAAACCGTGTCGATCAACCTTAATCGACTGCCAGAGCATAGTCGATTAGCTTAATCGACTACCAAAAAACCACATAGTCGATTAAGGGTCCAGCTTGCGCGAATTTCTTTACCCGCACCGTCTTTCGCCTGATCTACCAAAAAACCTAGATTTGCTCCTCATCGTCACCACGCCGCCACCACACCACACCATCACCACCCCATTTCAGCCTATCAAGAGTGACGTCACCACACCCCCCGAACTAGCAACTATCATCCTCGTTATGCTCCTACTGTAATCCTCCATGTTCGAAGCGATCGTGGAGCGGCATTCATATTCTCCCACGTTCTCCTTTTTATTCTCCGTATTCGCTGGAGAAACTTCCTTAACCACCGCCCCCCACCACCCTTGCTCCACTCCCGTCGCCGCCTTCTCCACCTCTGAACGCACTGAACTCCTCCATAACCGAATCTAACTTTATCAGCAAACCATTCAGATTTATCAGCAAAAACTTCACCATTCCCCAGTCCATATCGACGGCAACCTCGATTTCTGTTTCGATTGCTCCGATAAAGTTGGCAACAAAAGTCCAATAACCCAAATAGATTGTACGCCGCTCTTCGCCGGACCAATTTACGGTACGTGCTCTGTCGCTGAAATGGTGGCGTTAATGGAGTCAACGGAGCCGTCCAATTCCATGTGATAACGCGAGTGCTCAGAAACGAGCGAACAGAGAAAAGACGAGAGACTGGGGGAATATTTTAGAGAGATGGCCTTTTAGAAAACATTAGGGACTGGATTGAAAATTCTGAGAAACCTTTGGGCCTCATAAAGTTTTTGAGGAGAATTTATAATTTTTGAAATTTATGATAAAGGATAATTGTGTCGTTTCACGTTAAAACCACAACCCCAATCACACAATTCGCGCGTGTAGCGCACTTTCAGTTCGTAGAGGACTTAGTAGCTTTGACTAACTTTCATAGGATGGTCTGTGCTAATTTTTTTAATACGAGGTCTTATTTAATAATTAGAAATTACACAAGAGTAATTTTTGCAAAAAAAAAACCCATTATAAATACAAAATAGAGCATGTACGGAAATACTAACCAAAAACCATAAGTTTCGTGTTGATAACTCTCTAAAAATAGGTCTTTAACCCAACCCTTGAAGATATAAACCCAAATTTTGCATGGGATAAAAACCTCCAAAAAATTCTAATCCTAAATTAACCCAACCCTTGAAGATCTAAACCCAAATTTTGTATCGGATAAAAACAACACAAATAAAGAGCAGATTCTTCCGAGGTTCCGAACGTTCGCTTCCTTTTTTCCTCATTTACCCCCTCGTGTTCAAGTACCTCTCATTCAAATCAGAGATTCGATTCGATTCAACATCCTTTTGTGTTATGGCGATAAAGCCTTGAACTTTTCTCCAAAATAGCAAACGATGTTTCCAAAATACAAATGAAGCACGAGCAGACAGTTACAACATAGATACAAATGGGCAACAACAAATCGAACGAAGGCAAACGAAACAAAGGCAAATTATGCTCAGACCTGGTAATTTGTAAACAGCAAACGAAACAAATGCAAATAGTGAACAACAAATCGAACGAAGACAAAATGCAAACGACCTGGTAAAACTGCAAACGATCAAACACCCAAAACCTATGGAAGGATTCAAAATTCGTGGTGAGATTTTCGCTTTGAAGAAACAGGGAAGAAATCGATTTCCATATTTTTGCAATTATAATTTTCGGATTTGCAGTATAATTGGGAGAAAAATAGGGGATTTGATTTTGAAGATATATTTTACCGTATATTAATAGGGATATTGATAGGGGTACTTTTGACAAATTATAAATACAAAAATTTGCTGGAAATTAGAGTTTATTAAATGTGATATGCCTAATTGGGCCAACCCAATGGGCCTACAATTTCTTTACCTACTGGGCTACGAGCCCAATATCGAAGACTAATATCACCGAGGCCCAAACACCTTCAAGTAAGGCTTGGGCCCAACAAAGCAAACCCAACCCAATAAACGACATATAAATAGAGGTTTTACTCATTTTATTAAGGTACGTCCTATTAACTGAGCAATACTACAATACGTATTCTCTGGACTATTTCTACTATCAGCACGTCTGACTTGAGCGTCGGAGGGGTTTCCGCCGGATCAACCCCCGGCGTAGTTCACGTGTGTTCATTTCGCAGGTACCTCAGGATCATCAAGTTGTCAAGCTACTGATCTGCTTTGCTCTCCCAGCTCATTTTCTACACCATCCCAGGTGACCTAAATAATTAGCATCATCAAAATGGATTTTAACACATATAATCTCTTATAGGAGGCCTATAGCAAATTGCCCCTTTTTTTTTTGTCGGGACCATGCGCTTTTAAACCCCTTGTATAATGGGTCTATTTGCAACTATATATTTTAATAAAAAAATAAATAAAAGATTTTAATAGAAAAGATATTATATACAAATTAGTGAGTCAGCAGGTAATAAGGCCACGTCACCAGGTCAGACAATCTTCTACTATATTATGTTTTCAGACAATCGAGTACGTCATCAAATAGATTTAGGTTTATGAGGTTTCTACCTTTTATATCTCTCCACACAAAACCAGAGCAATTTTCTCTCCGCAGCGCAGAGGCATAATTTATTTATTTGATTTCGCCGATCCAGGTATGCAAAATTGATATAATCTCTTCTCGAATTTATTTATCTTAATTCTATTTTTATAAAATCATCTGATTATACAAATAACTGCTATTTTTCTCATCTGCTACATCTCAACTTTATTTTTCTTAGTTCGAATTTTATAAAGCAGGAGGGTTTTTTATTTTATTTTTTTCACTTCGTAATTTGACCTTAACTCAGGGGTGACCGTAATTTACCCTAACTATATTTATAATTTTTAAAATCGTGGTGATCAATTGTAAGTTTCAATTTCTCAATAATTTTGTTCTATGTTTTTAGCTTTATGGAAGATTCATCTGATTTATACAAATAATTTCTTGTTTGTTTTGTATTGATTTTGTGATTGTACTCAGTTGTAAGCTATTATTTATTTATTCTTTTTTTTTTGGTTGATAATATTTCACAGGAAATATATACAATATGGTCCTTGAATGTTATAATTGGCTCCTTCACCTTTTTAATCAAATAATAATTGGTGACAATTTTGATGATAAGAAGAAGTGGCGGCTAAGTTTGACTTTGCCGTCGTGGTCAATGCATCAAATCGAAGATAGACCACGAATTCTTCGCTATTTTTGTTATGGCAATTCTTTGCGGATTTCTATTATTGATGGCAAATCTGAAAAGGAGTGTAAGATGATGGGCCTCGAGTCAATATGGACTGCTTATTTCGCCGGTTGTTGCAATGGATTAGCTTTGTTCGAGTTGCCCGGTTTTTCATGTATTGTAGTCAATCCTTTGTCAAAGAAAAGTATCGAAACAATATCTGATACTTTTTTGGGAGGTCGAACATGTGGTTTCTTTTTTCATCCCGTGGCAAAAGAATATAGGATTCTCAATGTGCGGAAAGTAGAAACCGATGAATACGAGTATCAAATTTACTTATTTGGCGCAAAAAAATGGAGGAAAATTGCCAATCCATACTTTTCTCGCAGACCTACACACTACCGAAACAAGCCCAATAAAGAGATCGTTGATGGAAATCCAGCAATTGTGAATGATGCTTTGCATTGGTGCATGAATGAAATAATCATGGTTTTTGACATTATTAAGGAAGAGTTTTCGGTTAGACCTGCTCCAGAAAGAAGCTACTACTGGATGCGGAATCTTTATGTGAAAGATGATCAATTATGTTTTTGTCGTGTGATACATGGAGAACCGTTGATGGATATATGGATTTTGGAGGACTATGAAAATTGGAGTTGGGTTAGAAAGTACGTCGTTAATCTCGATTGGGACATGAACAAGTATCCCGTGGAAAAGAATTATTTTCCACTCGTATGGATAATGGGTAATATAAGAGTTATCAGCATTAGAAACAAGGAGTTGGTGTTGTTTTGGAAACGCAGAGGAATATTTTCCTATCATTTGGAATTTAACACCGTTGAGAAACTTCATTTAAGGAAGTCTAAGATGGATGATATTATTGATACTAATTATGATTGGACATGTGGCTTCGAGGCTTATAACGAAACAACGAGTGGCTAGTGGATAACCGGTGACTGGATTGTTTTGATTCGTAAAATTATTGTTTGTGTGTTGGATTGTTGTTTTGTTGGATTGCTGTTTTGTTGAATGATGCTCTTTTAGTTACCAATTTTGAGTTAATTATAAAATAGTTACAGACATTCCTTGTGAGGAAGTTAGACTCTTTGCACGCAATCTCTTTCTAATCGCCCCATCAAGAAAACCAGAATAAAACATGGATGTTATGCAATTGAACAAAGATTTGATAGAACAATTACATGAAAATAAAAAAACAAGGAGAACATGTTTTACATCCAGAAAACTAATATAGATAGATACAAGGAACATTAATAATCTCCAATTGTGCTGTTTTACATCTAGAAAACTGCACTGATGTACGTCAGCTACAAATTCCGAATTCGTATAGAGAACCATTTCAGAATATTAGTCAAATTCCGAATTCGTATAGAGAACCATTTCAGAATATTAGTCAAAGAAAGGTAGGATGGAAGAACTGGACAAGAACAAACACAGCAATAACATCTCGCTTTTCCATAATCTATAAATATGACGAAGAACAAACAAACCGACTGATAAATTCAAGCAGAACCACATTTTAATCCAGTAAATAACAAAATTAGGAAGACAACAGCAATAGAATCAATGGATAATGCAGCATCTTAAAATCGTGTTAAGTAGATTCCCTATAGCAAAAAATTCTTAAGACGCCGACAAATAGTACAAAATTTTTGCTTAAAATAAACACCTTCTGTTTAAATAACTACTAGTCTACTACTCAGCTGATAAATTCCAACAAAAAAATTTATTCCTTATTCACAAAGGAAGAGGTGGATACGAAAAATGGTTAACTAAATTGAATAACAATTTCACACTCTCTCTCTCTCTCATTTGCTGTCTGTGAAGTCAGCATCGATAACATCACCTTCCGGACCCTTGTCCGATGTTTCTGAAGAGCTGCTACCAGCTTCCCCGCCAGGTGGCGTGGGCCCAGCGCCACCTGGTTGGTTGTACAGCGACTGTCCAAGCTGCATGACTTCTTGATTCAATGCAGCCATGGCATCCTTTATAGCTTGTGTTGAGCCACCGGAGATGGCCTCGTTAAGTTCTTTAAGCTTTGCCTCGACCTTCTCTTTTACTGGGGCGGGGACTTTGTCGCCGAGTTCCTTCAATTGCTTCTCCGTCTGGTAAACTACGGAATCAGCTTGGTTCTTGGTATCTATGGCATCTCTCTTCTCCTTGTCTTCTTTTGCAAATTTCTCGGCTTCACTCACCATTCTCTGCACCTGTGGTTTTATGTTCACAAGAGAATGTTTTATGAGATTGTAGTTACAAATATAAGGGTTGAACTGAAACGTGGCGCATTTTTCGCAAACAAAACATATTCTAAGGGCTCCAAAGTTCCATAATTGCATTTTACCTAGCCAAAAATTCAACTCCAATGGGAATTTTAGAGCGTCTTGAAAACAATTCCTAAATTTAGAATCATTTTAAAAAAAAAAAATCATCGAGGATGCCCTAATTAACGAAAAAAAGGTTATCACACTCCTGCAAATTGGTGTCCTTAAACCGGAAACAATGCAACGATCGCCGAGGAACCAAGAAAATAGTACATTTGAACTAAACTTTAAACTCACAGGTTCCAGCCCAAACATGCATGCAGTTATTTAAGCGAGTGATTGGGACTAGACAGGATTACCTCGTCACTGGGTAATGTGCTAGCACCGGTAATGGTGATATCTTGCTTCTTCCCAGTTCCCTTGTCAATAGCAGCAACTGAGAGGATTCCATTTGCGTCAATATCGAATTTGACCTCGATTTGTGGAACTCCACGAGGAGCAGGAGGGATTCCGTCGAGTCGGAAGCTGCCCACAGATTTGTTGTCCCTAACAAACTCTCTTTCACCTTGAAGAACATTGATCTCAACGCTAGTCTGACCATCAGCAGCGGTTGAGAACACTTCTGATTTTGAAGTGGGCAGTGTGGTATTTCTGGGAATAATCTTAGTCATCACTCCTCCGAGCGTTTCTAATCCCAAAGACAGTGGTGTCACATCTAGAAGGACGATATCACTAACATCTCCAGCCAAAACACCAGCCTAAGCGAATAAAAAAATTAACAAAAAAACTGATCAGAAAACATAAATAAATTGACTACAAGACAACAAAAAAAAAGAATGGGGCGAGGAACAACCTGAACTGCAGCTCCAAGTGCAACAACTTCATCGGGGTTGACAGTAACATTTGGGTCCTTCCCAGTCAATTTCTTCACAAGTTCCTGGACAGCTGGGATACGAGTTGAACCACCGACAAGGATGACCTCATCTAAATCACTATAAGCGAGCTTTGCATCCCTCAGTGAATTCTGAACAGGGGTTTTCAGTCTGAAAAGGGAACAGAAATTATCTAGGAAAGCTGAAAAATAGGAGTAGATACATAAACGAAAAATTTGGATTTTGAGGGGGCAAGATGCATCAAGCTTACCTGTCAAGCAAATCTGAGCACAATTCCTCAAACTTGGCCCGTGTAAGAGTGGTTTCAATATGTTTGGGGCCATCCGCGGTGGCAGTAATGAAAGGCAAACTGGACAAAAAAGCAAAAAAGAACGATAAGCATGTATTCTTGTAAATTTCAGCAAAGAGAGTAAAAACTATAAACATGCCTGATATTGGTTTGAGTTAAAGATGAAAGTTCCATTTTAGCTTTCTCTGCAGTCTCAGTCAAACGTTGAAGAGCTTGTTTGTCTTTCAACAAATCTATTCCTTCATCCCTCTTGAAACTTGCAGCAAGCCAATCAACAACCCTCTGGATCAAGGTAGTCAAAATCGGGATTTTAAGTGAAATCGGAGAGGGGTAGTAAAATCGGAAACGTAAAATCGGATCTTAAAATCGTAAGATTTTACATGTATTGCAAAATAAATATACTTAGTACTTACTACTTAGAAAACATCCGTGACACAAATAAAATAAGTCATAATATACATAAAATATGTCCTAACAAATATGAAATATAAAACATCCCGACATTAGCAACCATGTTTTAACATTAATCAAACATAGTCTAACGTAAATTGTGTTAGGTGATAACTGAAACAGACACTCACGGCCGCTGGATGTTTTTTTTAGCAGAAGAGAAGTATTTTCTTCTCGTGGTGATAGATTGTTATTTTAGGGAAAATTAGGGCTGGGCTTTATATATTCTGGATTATTTGGTAAGTGGCTAAATTTTTTTTAGTTATGAAACTGAATTTATGAGGCAAAAATCCAAAATTTCAGCCCAATTCTTGTCAAAAACCAAAATCGCCAAAATCGCACTAAAATCGAGTTTTTAACGATTTTAACGATTTTGAACGCGATTTCACACGATTTTAAGGCACTTGCGATTTTAGTGCGATCTTACTCCTTTTCAGTGTGTAAAATCTTAAAATCTTACGATTTTAAGATTTAGATCTCGATTTTGATTACATTGCTCTGGATGAAACGAAAAACATATGTGGCCGAATGAATATATATAGTGTGCGCGTATATATATATATTGTGTGTGTGTGTGTGTGAGAGAGAGAGAGAGCAGGACAAATTCAGTGATTAGTATCTAGGAATAATGAACCTTATCGAAGTCATCACCACCAAGATGAGTGTCTCCGGATGTAGACAGCACCTCGAACACACCATCACCAACCTCAAGAACTATGTGAAAGCAAGAAGAAAATTATTAAACCCAATCAAATAGGGAACACAGCTATAAGGTGTACGTATATATTCTGATAGCAAAACTAACTTAAAATGAAGACCAATTAACATAACACCCCACATGGTACAAGCATCAATCTTCAACTGTCGTGACAGGTAAACCATACTCAAATGCCATGAAAATAGATTGCCAGCCCAACTTGTCTCGTATGGGGTAAGCATGCACTCTCCTTACCATTAAGATGGCAAGTTAAAAACAGTTATTCCGCAGCAATTTAGAAGGCCATGCAAGAATACAAAGCATGCAAATCATTTTAAAAACGACGAAAGATTTGTTCAAAGGCAAACACCATTATCTCATGAACTAATCAGGGAAATATGAGTTTGAGAAAGATAATAGCTGCTTGTTATACCTGAAACATCAAAAGTGCCACCTCCAAGGTCGAAAACCAGAATAGTTTCGTTGCTTTTCCTCTCAAAGCCATAGGCCAAAGATGCAGCAGTGGGCTCATTTATAATACGGAGAACCTCTAGACCAGCAATACGACCAGCATCCTTGGTTGCAGTCCTCTGAGAATCATTGAAGTAAGCAGGAACTGTAACTACTGCTTTGGTAACCTTGTCATTCAAAAACTTCGATGCATCATCCACGAGCTTCCTCAAAACCTATAACCAGAAAGAGAAAAAAAAATCATGCGATGCGATGCAATGCAGATGTACCATCTTAATGACACTAAGTCACTTGGAACATACTCATCGGTAAAAGAGCATCTTTTAAGTTCAAGATGGAAATAAAAATATCAATGGATAAATGAAACAAGAGAAATTTTCACATATTTAAAGATCGGTATATATTCATGTATGCACCAATAGACGCGAACTGTTTAAGAATTAAAACAGGAAGCCTGGAAGGTGCCTCAGGATTGATTTCAGAGAAGAAAACTTGAAAAGGCCACAGTCCAACGCCTTTCAATTTTATTTCCTTCTCTTTTTAACACATGATAGTTGCACGCACGACACTTGTCTCAACGAATTAGGAAAGAATTCATATCTATCCATCTGGGGAATCTCAAATTATGATGGGTCAGAATGTTTGTTAATTCAATGAAAACAAAAGAACAGAAATATTTAAACAAAATTCACAACAAAAAGCTGGAAACAAAAAAAAAACAGAAATCACCAAGTAAAACAAACCTGAGCCGAAATCTCCTCAGCGGCGAACTGCTTCCCAATCGCTGGGCATTCGAGCTTGACATTCCCATTCTCATCCCTCACAACATTATACGATACCTGCTTCGACTCCTCGTCGACCTCAGACATCTTCCTCCCGATAAACCTCTTCACCGAGAAGAATGTATTCTCGGGGTTAACCACCGCCTGCCTCTTCGCAATCTGCCCCACCAACCTATCTCCACTCTTAGTGTAAGCAACTACAGAAGGTGTTGTCCGCTGGCCCTCGGCGTTGGTCACAATGGTGGGCTTTCCTCCCTCCATTGCCGCCACAGCCGAATTGGTCGTCCCCAAGTCAATACCGACAACCTTCTCTGCTACAACACGGAGAGCGGAGTGGCGGCGGGAGCTGCTGCCGCCGCTGCTTCTAGCCTTACTCTTCAGCTTCAGTCCAAACGACGCCGTATTGCTGAGCTTCGTCCCGAAAAAGACGGTCTTTGTGGGGTTGCTTCTGGCGGGATTTACGGATGCGAAATGAGCTGTGGCACCAAGCGCGTGGATTTGAGCCGTTGAGGACGCCATTTCGCGAATAGTAAAATGGATTGAATCAAAAAAAAATGAAAAACCCTAGCTTCAGACTCGATTCGTATGTTTTTCGTTAGCGATTTGATGAGAGAGAGAGAGAGCTAGGGTTTATGAGTAAGAAATGAAATGGGAAGGCAGATGATTCAAAAACCTAGAAATTGGGGGAGAGGTGGCGTTTGAGGTGAGATATTGGTGGAAGGAAGATAAGAGAAAGGACGGGGGTTTAACTGTGTACTGCAAGATGAAGGTAGAGTGAGGGTTAGGTGAGGACACGTGTACGTGCCGGAAACGTCTATTTTGTTTTGCGATTGATGAGGGAGGCGGAATCCGAGCCGTTGGATATGGAGGATTCTGGGCCGGGCTTGATTCATTCTGAAAGTATTTGGGCTAGGATTTTGGATGTATATTTCTTATTTTTATATATATTAAATACAAGAATGGAAATTATTTCATAAGAAATGTTTTTTTTTTTAAATGGGTTTTTGTGCATAAGTCCCCACCAAGTATTTTTATTATTCTAGGTTTATGGCTATATCTCTTTCACTAATAATTAATAAGCCATTCCCTTTAATATTTTTTACAAATTATTCAATTTTGACCCAAAACTATTTTTTTCAAAATTTTTTTTAAAAAAAAAAGATTGCCGCCGGATTCCCGCGTTGACTTTTCAATTTTTTTTTTTCTTTCTTTCGGATTTTTTCGCCGGTCTCCATCATTGACTTTTTTTTTTTTTCTTCCGTATTTTTCCGCCGGTTTCCGGCGTTGACTTTTTTTAGTATTTTTTTAAGGTTTTTTTTTAATACATCCGCCGCTAAACGTTGACCGTAATTGTGCTGTCACTGACAGTAAATTAACGAAATTATACTGTCAATGACAGTTAATTGATGTAATTGTACTGTCGTTGACAATACATTTATGTAATTGTTCTGCCGTTGATAGTAAATTAATGTAATATTATTATTATTATTTTGTTATTTTTTTTTATTTTGTTTGATTTGTTGACAAGTCAACGTAATTATATTACTGTTGTTGACAGTAATTATATTACTGTCGTTGACAGTAATATAAACTGTAAAACAATAATATTACTGTCAACAACGTCAATATTATTATTTTTTTGGGTCTTTTGTTTTGTATGAGTTATTCACGGAGTAACGTAATAATATTATTGTCTATTATTGTAATATTATTGTAAACACAATAATATTATTGTGGTTGACGGTAATATTACTGTTGTTATAGTAATATTGTTGTCAACCACATCAATATTATTATTTTGTTTGGATTTTTTTGTTTGTTTGTGTTATTTACAGAGTAACGTAATAATAATACTGTCTATTATTGTAATATTACTGTTGTTATAGTAATATTGTTGTCAACCACATCAATATTATTATTTTGTTTGGATTTTTTTGTTTGTTTGAGTTATTTACGGAGTAACGTAATAATATTACTGTCTATTATTGTAATATTACTGTTGTTATAGTAATATTACTGTCACTCACAATAATTGATGGAGAACAAGGAATTTAAGAGTTCTATTAGGATTAGGAGTTGTTTTATTTTCCTATTTTTTTTAGTTTTAGTATTTTGAATTTAAGAGTTCTATTAGGATTAGGACTTTTTTTATTTTCCTATTTTTTTTAGTTTTAGTATTTTCCTAGATTAATTAGAATTTTATTTTTAGTATTTTCCTAGCTTAATTAGGATTTCTAGTTGATTAGTATAAATAGGTGTCTTAGGGATTTATTTTGGGCATCAAATTTCGAATTTTAATAAAACCTTTAGATAGAGTTCTCTTTATTTTCGGTGGATTCCGAATCTTATCGTGTTCTATAGGATTAATTCATAGAAATTAATTCTTTACCGTGCTTCCGTTCTGCGTCAGTTGGCATCAGTAGCGAGGTTTTTCCCTGGTTAGATGGCGAAAGGCGTGCAACATGGAGACGACAACCGCGATGGCGATGACCGCAAGGCTGGTGACGTTTATGCAGCGATCGAACAAGCTACAGAAGGACTGCGAGTGGAGTTTCGTGAGGAGCTGCGGCAACTTCGGGCGATACTAGAGGGACTCACCCTCAACGGCAACAACAGAAGGGGCGAAGCTAACATGGCGCGCGCTGGAAACTTGGCTTGAGGTGCACGAGTTGGGAATCAAAACCACCATCATCTTCAACAAGAAAGTGATGACGGGTCGGGTGAAGACAATTTGGCGATAGTAGATGGAAACCAGCCCAGACAGAGACAAGATGATCATTGCCAGATAAAAGCTGAGATTCCCCTTTTCCACGGGAATCTTTCCATCGAGGACTTCTTGGATTGGATTTCCGACGTGGAGCGAGCGTTCGACGTGATGGAGACACCCCCAGAAAGAATGGTTAAGATGGTGGCATATAGGTTGAAAGGTGGGGCGGCTGTTTGGTGGGACCAACTTCAACGATCACGAACTCGGCAAGGGAAAGGTCCTGTACTATCTTGGAGGCGGATGAAAGGGTTGATGCACGATCGATTTTTACCGTCTGACTACGATCAACATCTGTACAATTTATATCATAATTGTTCACAGGGTAGTAGATCAGTGCATGAATACACGGCTGAATTTATGCGTCTGTCAGAAAGGAATAATTTAAGGGAAACTGAGAATCAACAAGTAGCTCGTTATTTGAATGGGTTGAGAAGTAATATTCGAGATCGAATAGGATTACAGCCGGTATATAACGTTGATAACGCTCAGAGTATGGCGTTGAGAGCTGAGGATTTTGAGAAAAGAAGTAACGCGAATAATTTTAGGAGAGCGGTAACTTATACCCCACCTCAGAGCGATAGAGGAAAAGCCGTAAATCAGAATCCGGTACCGACGACAACAGCCCCACGAACGCAATCCTATGCGAGAGGCGGTGCTAGTGGTTCGAACACCAACTTCCAGCAGCGAACAAATAATAATCCTTATGCGAGGCCTTTTCCTGACAGTTGTTATAGGTGTCACAAACCTGGGCATCGATCTAACGAGTGTCCAGAGCGAAGAGCATTGAATCTAGTGGATGATCCAGAAAAGAGAGACGATAGTGAGCACGAGGGTTATGAAATTGACAAAAGTGAAGAGGACGAGGAGACCGAGTATCATAGTCACGAGAAAGGTGAACAGGTTAATTGCGTAGTGCAACGTGTTCTTTGTTCGGCAAGGCAACTAAACCAACGAAATAGTATCTTTCGTTCCCAATGCTCGATTAATAAGAAGGTATGCAATTTGATTGTGGACAATGGGAGTTGTGAGAATTTCGTAGCAAGGAGACTAGTGGAGCATCTGAAATTGCCCGTAGAAAAACACCCGTTTCCTTATACGATAGGGTGGATTCAGAAAGGGCCCACAGTCAAAGTAACAGAAGTCTGCCATGTACCCCTCTCGATTGGAAAGAATTATGTCAGAAAAGTGGTATGCGATGTCGTTGACATGGACGCAAGTCACATTTTATTGGGGCGTCCTTGGCAATTTGACGTAAATATGGTGTACAACGGGCGAGAAAACTCCTGCAAGTTTGAATGGGGAGGCCGAAAAACGATCATGCTACCTAGGACAGAGACAGCAACTACTTCGGCCCGGGAAGTCGGGAAGGACCCCGTTTTTGTAGTGGCCCAAACTGAAGGTGAGTTTATGGAAGGTGTTGAAACAGCGACCGAGATATACGCCACCTTAGTAAAATCGTTGGGAATTCCGAAAGAAGAGGCGAGTTCGAAATCGACGGTGGTAGTACCGGAAAGTGTCCAGCCTTTATTGAAGGAGTTCGGCGAATTGGTAGCCGATGACTTGCCAAATTCGCTGCCACCTATGAGGGACATCCAACACCAGATTGACTTAGTGCTCGGTGCAAGCTTGCCGAACCTGCCCCATTACCGCATGAGTCCACAAGAATGCGAGATACTACGAGAGAAGGTGGAAGAGTTGTTGGCAAAGGGGTTTATTAGAGAGAGCATGAGTCCGTGCGCTGTTCCGGTATTGTTAGTGAAGAAGAAGGATGGCAGCTGGAGGATGTGGGTCGATAGTCGAGCGATAAATCGGATAACTATTAAATACCGATTTCCAATTCCACGACTTGATGACATGTTGGATATGCTAGAGGGGTCGAAATTATTCTCGAAAATTGATTTGAGGAGTGGCTACCACCAAATTCGAGTTAAACCCGGGGATGAGTGGAAAACGGCGTTCAAAACAAAAGATGGCTTGTACGAGTGGTTGGTGATGCTGTTCGGCCTGTCAAACGCACCCAGCACCTTCATGCGCGTGATGAACCAGGTACTACGACCCTTTATTGGAAAATTTGTTGTGGTTTATTTCGACGACATTTTAATTTATAGCCAGACTGAACCCGATCATTTGAGTCACTTGCGAGCGGTGCTAATCGTGCTAAGAGAAAATCAACTCTTTATAAATTTGAAGAAGTGTACGTTCGTGACCAGTCGCTTGGTATTTTTGGGATACATTGTGGGGGCCGAAGGAATATATGTGGATGACGAGAAGGTGCGAACTATTCGCGAGTGGCCAACGCCCGTGAACGTTTCAGAGGTACGGAGTTTTCATGGCATAGCGACGTTTTATCGTCGTTTTATTCGTGATTTTAGCAGTATTATGGCTCCCATTACCAAGTGCATGAAGAAGGGGAAATTTAATTGGGGTGAAGAGGCAGACCAGAGCTTTGCAATAATCAAAGAAAAATTAAGTAATGCACCTGTTTTGGCATTGCCGAGTTTCGAGAAGGTTTTTGAGGTGGAGTGTGATGCGAGTGGCATGGGTATTGGAGCTGTTTTGTCCCAAGAAGGGCGTCCGATTGCTTTCTTCAGCGAGAAGTTGAGCGATGCGCGAAGAAAATGGAGCACCTATGATCAAGAATTCTATGCCGTGGTTCGGGCACTAAAACAATGGGAACACTATCTAATCCAGCGGGAATTTGTGTTATACACCGATCATCAAGCATTGAAGTTCCTGAATAGTCAAAAGTGTGTGAGCAACATGCATGTGAGGTGGACAAATTTTCTTCAGAAATTCCCGTTTGTCCTTAGGCACAAGAGTGGGGCTCTGAATCGCGTAGCAGACGCTTTGAGTAGACGAGCTGCGTTGCTTACCACACTTAGCGAAGAAGTAATCGGGTTAGAATGTTTGAAAGAGTTGTACGAAA